CAACTGAGAAATACTTCCCATTGCCTAGAACTTCTGGACCAGGCAACATTGGAATTGCTCTGTTCTGTCAAAGAATCAAGTTAGCCATGAGTCTGCAACTGACTTTCTGTTGGCTGACGGAAGTTGTATCTAACCACCTTAGTTTAGAAGATTAATCATTCAAACTGTATGATGAGAGAATCCTGGATAAGAATGAACAGTACGATGTAGAGGCAATTATAATGAGAAGGCAGAATGACAAAGCTGTTTTTCAAAACAAGAAAAACTATAGTTTTTAAAGTGAGAACTAATATAATATCTGGTTAATGGTAATAATGATAACAATGTTTATAAACGCTAATGGCTTTCTGGATAACGTTTTATCTAATTCTCATGCCAAACCTTTTAGCTAAGTATTATTCTTATCTATCATTTCCAGAGAAGGAAAGTGACCTGCTAGCTAAGGGTAGCAACTTGAACCACCCAGGCCATTCATCCTGAGCCACTTCGTAGCTCCCAAGGCGTCTGACTCCATCTGGAATAGAAAACAAAATTAGGACAACTCCTTAACTTTATTTTAAAAAGCATTAATTGGCAATCAGATGGCACATTCCCAGGGCAGTAGGTTCTGACAGAAATATCCAGGCAGCACAATCATAAAGCCTTGTTTTCCACGGTGCTTCAGATGTATGAAGTGGAAGCACACGCAGATGGCAATAAATGGTGCACACAGGAACACTTCAACAGAATATGTATTTAGGATCGTCGTGGATGTTTTGTCCCAGATCTTCAGTTTAAGGCTTCCATTCTCTAGGGACCTGCTCTACTGAACAGAGTAACTGCATGAGACTTGTCACTTGAGTGGTGTGGGCTGGAACCCTGGATCTTTAACAAATTCTTGAACAAATTCTTCGGCATAGCTCTCTCTTTTACCTCCTTTCTGTGGAGTTTCTTCTTCCCCCCATTCTGCTTTTGTTTGGCTTGGCTTTGACAACTTCTCACTCTCCTCAGATTTTCTGCCCTACAACCCTTCCAAAGTAGCACTTTTTATTTTATTTCCTTATTTATTTATTTTTGATTCAGAGTCTCACTGTGTTGCCCTTGGTAGAGTGCTGTGGAATCATAGCTCACAGCAACCTCAAACTCTTGGGCTTAAGTAATTCTCTTGCCTCAGCCTTCCAAGTAGCTGGGACTACAGGCACCCGCCACAATGCCCGGCTGTTTTTTGGTTGTAGTTGTCAATGTTGTTTGGCAGGCCCGGGACAGGTTTGAATCCACCAGCTCCAGTGTATGTGGCTGCCGCCCTAGCTTCTGAGCTACAAGTGCCAAGCCAATAGCACTTTTTAAATGCTTAGCTACATAGAAATTTAATATAAATTTATGTTGACAGAATAAAAAAATGGGAGATAAATAATCACTTGTAACATTTATTAAGTGATTTCTATTGTCTAGGCATCCTTAGAAGCTGTTCACAAGCATCAACTCACTTCTCATGAAAGCCAAGTGAATTATCCCAATTTGTAGATTAAGAAACTGAGGCTTAGTGAAGATAAGAAAGTTATTTAAAATCGTTCAGCAGCAGTGATTACCTGCAGGACCTCTGCCCCTCATCTGTTCCAACTCCCTGAAGGAGGAGCTATGGCCCATTTTGGTCCAGATCTCCACTTTTGGTCTAATGAACTGTGCCTTTGTGGGGTAAGTCACCTTGTACCAGTAGCTTCTAGGAGTTGCCTGCTGTTACCATGGCAACCATGCAGCGGCAGGACTCAGTAATGGGAGACCAAATATGTGTACTCCCGGCTAGGCAGAAGCTGGTCATCACCAACTGCATTTATTTCAGTTTTTATTTCTACTTTTAAAAGAGGAGAAAATGCAAATGAAGCTAACCCAGCTAGAGCGGCTCCTGTTGTTGGGGGTGTGTGTGTGTGTGTATCTGTGTGTGTCTATGTGTTGTATGACTGGTACGCTATTGGAAGGAAGAATATCTTAAATGAATTTGGGGATTTTATGCCTGCCATTAGCACAGATAAGTGAGGCTGTGATACACGGCACATGTAAACATTCGGACTTCAAAATGATTGTCTTTCAGGGCTGTGCCTGTAGCTCAAGGAGTAGGGTGCCAACCCCATGTGCTGGAGGTGGTGAGTTCAAATCCAGCCCTGGCCAAAAATCTAACAACAACAACAAAAAATTATTGCTTTTCAGATATATCTTCTTAATGTTTAGTAATAAATTTTTTTATACTTAACATTTATTTGCCAAAAAAGTCTCCTTGGAGCAAACAAAGAAATGAACCCAATTTTTAGGTTCATGGGAACGTGATCAGCTTAGACACCCTTGGAACTCTGATAGACAAGTAGCCATTCCCTCTGCTGTTGGCCAATCTAAAGGAGTTCAGTTGGACAGAGGGTAGAGTATCTGCAGCTGAGTCCTGAATCATGGAAATGTCATTGTATATCTCTGTCCTACTTTGCAAGCTTGTCAGTCATGCATAAAAGAGAACACACCCAGTCCAGCGTGGATCCGTCTATCCTGTTTCCCTGACAAGCATTACCGTATTATACAATCTAGTGACCCTCCCCATTTCCATCCTCATGGAAAGCACCATTCCGTGCCGTTCCCACTCCTTCCTAAGTTTGTCTTACCATATCCAGGTGGTCTAACTTCTTTCTCCCTCTGCTGAATTTTCCCAGTGCTTTAACAAGCTTGTTGGTGAGTAAATTCCTATCACGTGTTCTAAGTATCCAACCAGGAAAACCTAATCCACAAACAGAGTATCCTGTCTTGCCTACAAAGACAGACAGGCATCATGTTACTTCCTTGCTTCTATCTTGGACCGCAGTTAGTAGTGTCACTGGTGCATTATAGACCATCCACAATTCTTTTGTGTTAGTTATATGAGCAGTAAAGCCTCAGCAATGTCAACCAAGTGCCGGAGGACACACCTTCATTCAGGCTTTACCCCGTCTTGCTTAAACCCTGGGAAGGAGACAAGTAGTTAAATTCACGTACAAAACACCTAGAGATAGATGTTATTTATTTTGTGTGAATAGTATGTATGAGATTAAAAAAGACAACCCTGCTTTCCCATGTAACAGGGCTTAGAGGGTTAGGAAAATGTAGCATGATGTTTTCAAACTAGTCCTTCTGTTGTGTAGCGTGCTAAGATTAATGGAGAGTGTGATGATCTTTATGTCAAACCAGTGAGTCCCAAATTTAGTGCCAGTATAGCAAGTACTGCAAGGAAGATGGATATTACCCTTTTCAATTTTAGGAGCTGGTAAGTCACATTGCTGGTTTTCAGATTAGCAGATGTTTGTCTCTGGGTATTGCCATAAGGAATGCTGTGTTCATCCAAATAAATAGATTCCCTGGCTGTGACTGACGATGAACTTCAGACATTTCTCATGTGGCCTGTGCACGCCCAGTCACAGACACACACTTGCACACACCCGCATACTCTGCATTCTTTATTTTTTTTCTTTTTGGAAATGATCCAAATTGACAGTAGAAACAGATTCTTTCTTTTTATAATCTTTTTCATGATATAGGAGAAGTTCAAGTCTATATACATTATTTGTGGGAAAAATGTTTCATAAGCCCCCCACCCAAAATAGATAAATAAAAAGCAGTTTTCACTGACAGTAGAACCATGATTGACTTGACCTGGATTTGAGTGTGAGGTTTTGAAAGACTGGGAGAGGGCTCCCAAAACATTATACGTTATCTTCTTGCTTTTTAATTGTAACCGATTCTATTTCTTCCAGTGCTGGTGCGATAAAGGTGGGGTTGGAGGTGGGGCGTGACTTTCCTTTCTCATCTCTGAGGACATAATTGGCAAACTTTTTCTGACCAAGAAATATGTCAAACATTTTAAATCTTTCTTTAAGAAAAAAATCATTGTGCCAACCGGAGATTCACTGGACCCAAATCTGTACAAATGACTCTAAGTTTACCTCCAGAAACATCACCTAACTCACATTTTACTTACAGAGATGCAAACATTTTGCATTGCCTGTGTGAGATATTTGCATTGCAAAATACAGCACAGTGAACTCTTTGTCATTTTCTAAAATTACCTAGGAATATACAATAGATGTGTTTTTCCGTCAAAGCTGGAAGGATGAAAGGTTAAAATTTAAAGGACCCATGACAGTCCTCCGGTTAAATAACCTAATGGCAAGTAAAATCTGGACACCGGATACCTTTTTTCACAATGGCAAGAAGTCGGTGGCTCACAACATGACCATGCCCAACAAGCTGCTGCGGATCACAGAGGACGGCACCTTGCTATACACGATGAGGTAAGGGCGGCCGAGCTTCTGTTTCCGAATGTCTGTGCTCATGTCTTTTCCTTTGTAGCCTATCACCAACCTGGTGGGTCCTGGTGGAAGATTTTGTTTCCTATTTTTCAGTTTCTCAACCTTAAATATGACCAGGCTGTGACACCTGACTGGCTGAAATGTTATGCAAGCATTACAACATTAAATACAACGATTACAGAAATGAAAAAAAAAATCCTGTTTACTATATATTAAGTAACACAGTGGATCACAATATTTTCTCTCCAATCTGTTCTAATCGAATGTGATTAATTGGCTCTCTCTGCTGCAGAACTCACATATTTCTGCATTCTGCTAAGGACTAGATTAAATTTCTAGAAGTTATCTAACTGCGTATAGCTGAAAAGATTTCTACTAAAAATTCAGGAACAAAACCTGGAAAACATGGAAAGTTACAAATTAATAAAATAAAACACAGATCCATGTGGAAATGTGTAGTTGAAGAAATATATGAATTTTCAACAAGATGAATAGCTAGACTGAGAATATACATTTCCTTTTTTAATTTTCCTTTAAATACCATGTATCTATTTCTGTCTTATTAACATCTCATGTTGATCTCTGCAAAGCCCAGGATCTATAAAGTGTTTAATACATTCATGGTCAGATGAAGGAAATAGGAATCAAATAATGTTTTGTACATTTTTAAAGAAAAAAAGAAGTGTTTAAAATGTACTCGATTTATGAAATTAAGAATTGTCCTGGAATTGTTTTTGAGGGCAGCAGTATTTTATTCCCAGATAACGTGTTAGATGTTATTTTGTGGATTTGGTCAGCATTTGGTAACTCGGATTATTTAACTCAGATTACTTTTTTAGTATAAAAAGGTAACAAAGGTAAAATCCTCAATTTAGTGGGTAAGATGAAAATAAGGTGATATTTTGCTTTTGGAGAAAGCTGCCAGAATGCCTTAATTTTGAAACGCAAACATCTGAAAGAAAAGATAAAATGTTTCAAGAGCCAGATTTTATATCGGGCTCAACTAGTCAAAGCATAATAGGACTTAAAAACAAAGCAAAACAAAAACAAAAACATTGAAAGAGAGAAAATAAAGGACCAGCGTGTACATGTATTGAGAGCTTTCCAAATTTTCTAAGCAGGACTTTTTTTTTTAATTTAATTTGAAATTTGAAATAATTTTCTCAGGTAAAACACTATCCATTTGTCTTTGAACCGAAGTCCAGTGTTCATTCCTCTTAGGTGGTAGTTTTCTGGGGAGGGATTTACATAATCTTAATAGTCTATGATTAATGGCGTCTTATTTATGTGATGTTCTTCATTAACAATTAGCCTTTATATTCCATCTCCTACATTTCTTGCCACCTTTGCTAATCTATTATGACTTCCTTTAATAGTTCAATTTAAGAATGCAATTTTATAACTGATGTACTTTTTAAAAATTATTTGCTTTTATCTGTGTTATAATCATTTAGGTAGTTTACCAACTATAAAGCCATATTACAACAGTTCCTTACCTACTTAATAATATGGCTGGGCATGGTTGCTCAGGCCTGTAATTCGATCACTCTGGGAGGCTAAGGTGGGTGGATTGCTTGAGGTCAGGAGTTGGGGACCAGCCTGAGCAAGAGTGAGATCTATCTCTAGTAAAAGTAGAAAAACTAGCCAGGTTAGGTGGTGCACTCCCGTAGTCTAAGTTACTCAGGAGTCTGAAGCAAGAGGATCACAGGAGCCCAGAGTCTGGGGCTGCTGTGAGCTATGACACCATAGCACTCTAGACTAAGACAACAGAGTGAGATGCTGTCTCAACAAAAATAAAGCTACTAATGTGGGTAAATATTTAGATAATGCTCAAAAGAAGGAAATGAGTATTAACTCTCTCATAACTCTACAAACTGGGAGTAAGTATCTTTCAGTGAACTTCTTTCTTAACAATTCTTAAAAAAAAGCATGAGTGGATTTCACATTCTCAGAGAATCCCCGGGACTACAGAGAAGTCCCCGCCAAGCCGTGGCTTCAGTTAGGCAGTGGGATGGTAAATAAAACTAAATGGTGGTGAATAATGAGATCTTTTATGGAGACTACTCTCAATCCCACAAAGCCTGAGAATACTTCCTTCTTCTTTCTCTTTTGCTTATTCCTTGGTTGTTTTTTGTTGTTGTTTGTTTGTTTTTGTTTTTGCATTGGTGCTATTTTGGGGAAGGAAGTAGAGATAGCTGCACTCAGAAATTATCTGTTTTTTTTATCCATGTCTTCCTCTCAACCATAGATGAATTAGTACTTATGCAAATATATATATTTGCTTACATCTGGTTTTATTCTCAGAGATTTTGTTGTAGTTGGGTGGATTGGTTGATAGCATTTGGTTTGGAAAACATTATTGATGCTCACCCATGGTACAAAATCAGGTGTTGCCAATTTTCTCAAAGCAAATGAACAAAATATGGATAGAATCCAATCACTATTGTAAATAATTCTTTTAGATCATTTGATTAATTAACAGCTCAATATGGCTTTGCAGTTTATGTTTGTCTCTCCTGCTTTGTTAATCTATTTTCTGCAGTTAATAATATCCTACTTGTATGGAATTATCTAATCTATAGGTCTCTTGTTTGTATTCTGTATTTTCCTGAAGGCTGACGGTGAGGGCTGAATGTCCAATGCATTTGGAGGACTTCCCTATGGATGCCCACGCCTGCCCTCTAAAATTCGGAAGCTGTGAGTAAATTTATTATGAATTTTCTCCATTTTCGTGAGAGATCAATGGCTTTAAATGAGATATGTCCAGTTAGTTATGTCTGTTAGAAAGACAGACAATTGTTTCAACAAAACTTAAATAGCACATACTCCTAGAGCCTCCTATAAGTAGTATTCCTTGAGTTCACTTTTTGATGTTCTTTCAGAAAAGGGGTTAACCCATATCTACTGAACTAGAAAACATAGATTGAACTAGTTAGTGGAAGACTCGTATTTTTTTCTGAAGTTGTAGTTATGGAAAAAAGAGGGAAGTATGGATGCTTATAACATGTAGATAACACTTCCCTCCCAATTAATGGCTATCATGCTGTCTATTTTATATCTTTACTGGCACTTGTTTGATCTTAAGAATAATTTGACTTGTTGAAAAGAAAATAAGTGAGGGTGGCGTCTGTGGCTCAGTGAGTAGGGCACCAGCCCCATACACTGAGGGTGGTGGGTTCGAACCCGGCCTAGGCCAAGCTGCAACAACAACAACAAAAAAAGACAGTAAGTCAGTCTTTCTTAATAATGAAACCTACACCTAACAGGCATTGCCAAAATAAATAAATAAACAAACTAATAAACAAATAAATAATTCAATCATGGTCTTAGAAAATTTCTAGATATGTCTGCATATATTGAGAAATTCAGTATACATTAGTGCTTTTGAGTTTATCCGACATAAATGCTGTTTCTAGTGACTTTCTGGATTTCTACTATTTAGAACTATTCAGGCACCTCTCTACAGAGCCAAGAGAATGGTGGTCAGGAGACTTAAATTCTTGGGTCTTTTCTCTACCCTTCTGCTTTTGACACGTTTGCATGCGTGAAGTGAGTGGGAATAATGTATTCTTGGTTTCCTATAGGGAGTTACATATAAAGACTGAGTCAACTCCTGGACTATACCTAACCATTTTTCTGTTCTCACTAGACAGGCAGTCTGAGTGTCTATTTTGGTGAAGATATGATTCATAGAAGAAAAATAGTGGTAGTGTAGGAAGACAGCAAGCAAAGAAAATAGCAAAGAGCCTTTAGGCTCCTAGCAGCACTAGTCAGGGAGAGAAGACTTTCTGTATTTATAAATATAATTCTATATGGAAACTCAAGGACAAACTACTTCAAAAAACTGTGAGCTGAACGGGGCTTTGATGAGAACTCCCTTTTCCCCACTCTTCTCCAAATATAATATACATGCTATATTTTTTCTTCTGATTATAAGATCCATTTTAATAATAATGATATGCATCATATATTACTTGCATGTCAGACAGTATACTAAATATTTGTACATTCATAAGTGCATCAAATCCACAACATAACCCTATAGTTAGGAAGATGACACATCATAGTTCCTCTGGGACAGTACTGATTTATGCCTAATATTCTGGTAAAATTACTAACAGTGCCCTTGTTTACCACCAAATATGTCCTGATCCCTAACTGGGACAATGAATCACATTTTTAAAACAAAGTAGTGAGCAATGCTCTCAACAGTGAGGATAGCTGGAAAAAAGAAGGGTTCATATTTTCATATATGACATATAAAGGGAAGTGATGGTTGGTTGACTGCTGAGCGGTTCCATGTCTTAACAAAGTGGGTATCTTAAGATACTCCTAGGTATTCTTCCTTATTGCAAGGTGGCTGCTGCATCTCCAGCTGCTGTATCTTTCAAGGTAAAGGGAAATAGTTTGTAAAGAAGTGAGTTGTGTCTGCAGCAAGAAGATAAAATCTTTCTCTAAAAGCCTAGCAGTAATCTATGCACATTTCACTAATAAAATGTATGTTGCTGTTTGCAAAGGAATCTGGAAAGCAAATATTTTTAACTGGGCACGTTGTCAACCTGAAGAATATTGGAGGTATGTTAGTAAGAAGGGCATAGATAGTAAGTAGAAAACAAAGAGTGTCTTAGATAAGAAACCTGGAACTAAAGAAAAATAAGGAAGCTGTTTTCCACCCCAGAGTGTTTTCATGTTCTCTTTCTCTGCTTATATTACTCTTTTCTTGGTTTTTCAAATGGTTGGCTTCTTCTGTCTCAGCATATCTTAGCAAAATATCTGCTCCTAGGGCCTTCTCTGATGAAATTATTGGAATTTGCCTATCATGCCACCCAGCTTGTGGATCACAATGTACAGTTCTTTTATGTACTTTATCACAGCAGCAAGTATTATTTTATTTACTGGTTAACATTTTTTTATTGTCTGAAGACTGTAACCTGCAATCTTCAGGGGCAGGGTGTGCGAGGTTTGACACGTAAGTTCACAAATTCATCCTAGAAAAAGTGCTACATACCTCATTGCTGGATATCAGCACAGGTATCTTTGAAGTACTCCCGTTGGAAGCTATGCACTGAAGCCAGTGACTAGTCCACCCTTCAAAGGAATTTTGGAACTCTTTTTCTGGAATGCCATCAGAGCTATCATTGTATGGCACACAAAAGCACATCACACAATTAATGAACACCACTCAGCAAGACACTGCCACATGTCAACAAGAACACAGCCCTGAGACATCCATATGCCAAGGTTATGAAACTTCACTGAGTTATTTGTCCAGTGCTCCTAACATAAGCACACAGTAGCAAGTTCACAGACTTACTTGTCAGACCTCATGTTCACAGCTCCTTTGGTAGTGGCCAATACAACTCAGACACTCAATAGATATTTATTGAATAGATAAAACAACCATAATTAGACATTAAGTGCTCTTTCAATGTTCAGAAAGTTCAAGTTCAAAAAAGAAGGCTTAAGACAAGTGTGGTAATTAAACAGGGAAGACCTGCCGTTGAAATGCAGGCTCAGATGTCTTGTTGGGGGCTGTTGGAGAAGGGAACACCATGGCTGGTTCCTACTGGCTGCTGTTGGCATGAGAAGAGGTCGTGGAGGTCCATTTGTGGTCCTGTCATTTCTCTGCAGTGTTCTAATTAGCACATTTCAGAGGTGAAGAAACGGAGGCAAAATCAGGCTAAAAATTCTTGGACTCAATTTTTGGAGAAAACATTTTGCCAAAATAGTAGAGGAAATGATAAGCAAGAGAAGTTTCCAGTTGTTTAGTGGAATAGTTTGTAATAAATGTTTATGAAGGTCCTGAAGCAACTTCAGTCATGTACTGAAAAGAACTAAACTCAAAAAGAGCAGACGTTTGCCTTACCAGTCTCTATTAGATTTTGCCTATCAGTGCTAACTGGCATTTTTCTGCTCGTTAAGGAAATAACCCTTTTCATAAGCACAGATAACCCAAAGACAATATATGTTTTACTACTGACATCTTTTAACTGCTTTGAAAAAAATACAACATAAGGCTTTGATTCTAAAAGAAGAGATTTGGGTTATCTGACATTAAGCTACAAGCAAGTTCTGAATCTAATACCAACTTAATGATTGTTTCTTGACTGACTGATCATCAAGTACAATGCCTATAAACAAAGAGAAATAAATAAAATTTAAATACATTCTGAATAAGATATAACTTTAGAAATTGTTTATTTCACTTACCTTGGGCAAATGGAAAAACAAAGACACATAATAAGTGAAGTGATAGGGTGGTACCTGTGGCTCAGTGAGTAGGGCAGTGGCCCCATATACCAAGGGCGGCAGGTTCAAACCTGGCCCCGGCCGAACTGCAACAAGAAAAATGCCAGGTGTTGTGGCGGGTGCCAGTAGTCCCAGCTACTCGGGAGGCTGAGGCAAGAGAATAGCCTGGGCCCAGGAGTAGGAGGTTGCTGTGAGCTGTGGGATGCCACGGCACTCTACCGAGGGTAACAAGGAGATACTCTAAAAAACAAGAAGTGAAGTGATGGTTCATTAGCAATTGCTCTTTTGATACTTAATCTATGTTCCCAGTGTTGTACCACTGCAAAATTCTTCCATAACACCACCCCAAACCTTTTTGTCTTGCTTTAGAAACATTCTTTTAGGTAATATAATTTTTTTGATATCATAGCTTAGAATTTTTGATGAAGTAGTTGAAAATTCTACTTAACCTTATTTTTCTTAAGCTACAGTCACAAATCATGTAAGTTTTCATAGGAACTACTTTTTAAATACTAAAAGTTGAGGCATCAATAGGGTATATCACCTATCCTAAGAGCTTAGGTACGTCTGTCTTCATCTTAAAACACCAACTTTGATCATGGTGATCTATTCTTCATCTTGGAAGATTTCCACTAAGAAATGGACATGAGTGATCTGCACCTTCACGGTGATGTCACGTTTGTGGTAGATGATCTAAAACATTCTATCACACAGTTGTGTTTCTAACAAATTGCAAGAAAGAAAAACACCCACATTATGGGAAGTAAGGAGTCAATGGTAGAGTATTTTCTCCCTCTGCAACTATATTAGTGACAACACGTGTATTGTATAAAAAGATAGAATCCAGGCACTATTGCTAAAGGTAGTAGTAATAATAAAGAGGGGGATTGTTATGAAATGACATCTGGAATTGGCCTCATCCAGTGCTCCCAACATAAGCACACAGTGGCAAGTTCACAGACTTAATTGTCAGACCTCATTTGTTCACAACTCCTCTGGTAATGGCTAGTGACTGCTAAGTATCTTTGCTTGACTTATTAGCATATGCTATATAGTTTTTGCCTAGAAAAACTTTACACACAGCAGTGGATTGGAATGAATGGCATGCTAAATTTCTATCTTGGTTTCCAGCTAATTTTTGATATGCCCTTAAATAATTCATTTTATGTCCAATGCCTCAGTTCAAATGTGATAAGATCATATGACCTTCCAAGTTCATTGTTCACTCTTTCTGTATTACCTTAAACTCAGTATGTCTTCTCTGGTAACACATTTTCATTAGAAAAAGAAGAATTTATTATAATCAAAAAAACCCCATATTTTACTGGATGTCGGTACTTACAAATTGTCAGTAATACAGTCCTCCCAAATTAGTGTGTTCTGCTTTCTTCTGACAATTTTTTTTAAAAAATCAAATTTCATACCCTCCTTTCAAGATTCAATGCTTTTACTATACACAATGCTGAAATGCTTCAATTTTTTTCTATGTCTATAAGGACAGTCACAATTAAAAAGGAAAAGTTAATGAGGCCAAATTCCAAATTATCCATGGGTCGCTTTTACACGTCTTATGAACCAGTTTATTCTCCCAAACTTCTGGAATCGTTTATTTAAAAGGATATTTGATTGTAAATTGAGCCAAAAGTGAGGTCAAAGTGGGCAAGATAACCCTGTAAAATCAAGGAACAGTGACTACATTTTTCTGCATCACTCACCTTAGAGAAAAGCGATCACTCTAGATGCTCTGTTTCAGAGACTGAGGGACATGGCTTGCTTGTTTTTCCAGGAGCCTTATTTTCATGTAAAAATGAAACTATAATTTTATATATTATGATATTTCAGCCTTAGAAAATATATATTTGGACTCTCCTATTCCTATATAGAATAATGTTAAAAAGTTAAGTCCTATCCCCCAAGTCTGATCACCTGGGAGTGTGGATGGGGCAAGCTGAGGTGCACGTGGACTTTTAAGGGCCCAAGGCAATTTTGTCTTTGGAGGTCTTGCCTCCAAAAAAATAATTAAAATTATATTTATTTTGTGACCATGTGGGATATAGATGAATATAGTTCACATTACATTATATTCATTTTATCTTCTTATGTTCAAAGAAAGTGGGCAGCACCTGTGGCTCAAGGAGTAGGGTGCCAGCCCCATATACCAAGGGTGGTGGGTTCGAGCCTGGTCCCAGTCAAAACTGAAAATAAATAAATAAATAAATAAAATAAAAAAGAAAATAAAGCAAAATAAAAGTATTGTGTGCCCTGACACTGTGCCCAGGTGCCTGATGCAGAGTCAAGCTCTCACAGAAAGGCTAGCCTTTGCTGTCCTGCCTTCCCCTTGAAACCTCTAGCAATAGCTCAATTTACTAACATGACTTAATTTTATAACATTGTTCTACATCTAAATATAGGAGAGTAAATACCATCGCTACAACCTATACCAAGTGTATGTTCTGTGACTAGAAATCAGGAAACCAATGGAATTCCTTTCCCTTTTTTTTCTTCCTCACTCTGTATGCACTCCTTCTCCAAACTGCATTAATTAAAGATTAAGAATGTGACCTAACTTCTCATAGACAGCCTGGTTAAAAGTGACAGGGGAATGAAAAGGATTGAGAAGAAGAACTATGTCGTGTAATTCACCATCATCCTGATGATGGTCAATATCTAGAAAGAGGATGATCAGTAAAGAAGAAAGTAATCTCAGATGGGTGTCCAACAACATTTCCAGTGTTATTTTCCACATTTATCATGACCTTCTCCAGACTCAACACGATCTGGACCCAAGTGACTACCTCTAACCTCATTTCATCTCTCAAGCTCTTCACTCTGGGCATTGTGGTCTTCCTTAAACTAGTCAAATTTTTGCCTTCAATAGAAGAAAAAAATGTGTTATTTTGTCTGTTGAGAAAACTCTTTCCCAAAACTTTCCTATGGCTCATCCTCTCATTTCTGTATGTGTTTGTTGTATAAATGTCACTTCCTTCAGAGACTTTCTTAGAATCTCTTTCCTTACCTAAGACGGGCCCCCCACCCCTTCATTCTCTCTCCTTTAACTCCACTGTGTGTGGCTTTATTGCACTTAACGCTACTTGAAATTATACATTTATTTGCTTACCTGTTTTTGTCCCCACACAGTAATGTCTGCTCTATAAGGTCAAGAATCTTATTTGTTATGGTTGCGACTCTATCGCCAGCACAGCCCTCTGTCCTCCGTAGGTTATTAACAACCTTTGTTGGAAGAGTGAGCAAGTGATGGAAGGAATCAGGAGAATGTGTTTCAGTTTTCCAAAATTAAGGGATATTAATGGAAAGGATGGTGATCTTTCCTAGATTGCCTTCTGGTTCCATGAAATAAAAACTATAAACCCTTGATAAAACACATCAGTTAATCAAGAGACTGGAAATGAAAAAACAAGTGGATAATTCTCTGTTTTTTCCTTTTAGATGCTTATACAAGAGCAGAAGTTGTTTATGAGTGGACCAGAGAGCCAGCACGCTCAGTGGTTGTAGCAGAAGATGGGTCACGCCTCAACCAGTACGATCTTCTTGGACAAACAGTAGACTCTGGGATTGTTCAATCAAGTACAGGTAAGTGTCATTTGATTACTTCAGATGTGGAGGAAAGAGCAGAAAATGTGAGAATGTGAGAACTCAGCGAGTCCTTCAGTGACACAAGCACAGAAGAGAGAAAATTACACTGACCTGGAAATTGGCTGAGCTATGAACTAATGTAACCCTTGCAGATCTGTGACCTTGGACCTGCCATGTAATGTCCTTTGGCTCCTGTTCTTTTGTTTGCAAAATAAAGAGCTGTTTCTGTGTGATCAGGGTAGCACAGCAAGTAGAAAGATAGTTAGAATTAACCCCTTATTCCTCTGCCTTTTCAGTTGATTATAGTCATCTTCCAGGGATGTTAGAAGCAATCAATTAAATTCAGAAAGATATTCCTCTGAATTCTTGGCACATAAAAAGCTTTTCATAAACATTAGCTATAATATTGTCTAGGCCCCATTTATTCCCATGAGTTGATGGATCTTTCTGAATTTATAGCAGTGATCATTATATATGGCACATCAAAAAGTCAATTGCTTCTACAAATCCATCTGCGTTTCTCGCTGAGGATCTTCCACAGCTAAAGTCAACAGAAATGTAGCCACATTGTTCATCACACCATGTCTATGAGAATTAAAAGTAGGCAGAGCACTGTTCTTTCTTGTGTTTTTACTGATTTACTGGTATACTCAGAACTGGATCAGATACTACTGAAGACCTGAACCCAAATTTTTGAAGTTGTTTCAAACACCAAGGGTTTTCATCTGCAGGTGTTTATCTTGTACCGTCTGAAATGTGATCATCATAATGGATAATTATAAATACAAGTTGGACTCCAACAATTAGAAAAACTTATGCCTTCCCCATACCAATATTTCTAATTAATTTTAATTCCCAAAAGCTTTAACAAAGGCTAAAAATTATTTTTGTGGGTGTCTTACAAAATTTAAGTTGACCTCATTCACTCTGATTGCTGATTCAGTAAGAGATAAGGGTACTAGTGCTATTTTTCTCAGAAAAAATTTCTCCCTTAGATTTCAGACTTTACTGGGACTCACATAATTCTAACATATTTAATAGGGATCTCCTACTATTATCTCTTATGATTGGGTAAGTTCTGCTTAACAAGATCTGTATTTGCTTACTTAAAAGCACCCTTAGCTAAGACTATAATTTGTTACTAAAGAAGTTTCTCTGAACATATGAAAACACCCATAGCTAACCTGAAAGCTGAAATGCTTATGTTTCTTATTTTTTAAAATGGAGAAGGTTGTTTCTTAGTTTTGCAAGAGATGCAAGTGGCATAGAGGAAAGGGCCCAGGTTTTGTAATGAGAAAGAAATGGATTCAAGTCCTGGACCTGTCCCTTAGAAGCCTTGTGACTTATCCATGTGGAAACCTGGTCTCATTTAAGGAATGAGAATCCTATAATTTTGCATTAAAGATTGAGTAATGTAAAATACTGCATGGTGTTATATAGTAGGTGCTCAAAATGGTCTATAATAGCTGTTGCTGTGGTCCTGAAAATATCTGTAAACATGAAAAATACTGAAGATTGTTCTTCCTCACAACATGTTATATGGAAAAGGATACTAAAATGAGCTGTGTTTACTTAAAAAAAAATTGACTGCTGTTATAAGCTGGATATTATGTCAGGCATAAAAGATTCAATGATAGACAAGGCACAGATCTTGCTGTCATGGAATTTGAAGTCTAAGAGAGGATGAACACATAAACTGTAATTATCAGAATGGGTAGTAAGTGCTGTGATTAATCTTTTTGTGAGGACATGGATCATGTGTGTCCTTTGTATCCCTATTATTTTCTGTAGTAAATGAAACATAATAGGCACTGACAAATATTTTAAATTAAATGAATAAAAAAAAAATGAATCCATCCTTGGATGATCCAGGAAAGATTGTTGTAGGGGGTTACTTTTTACTTTGTTGGTCTATTTCTGTCGGGAACTGAATAATCACTGTTCTATGCCAAGGGCATTGAGAGTAATTCACATAAACCTTTTCCACAGGAAACTCTCCATCTATTATTGTTAGAATTGAAGTTGGAGGATTTCTGTGAAATAATTCAAATGCAATAGCCTGTGTATAATCGAAGAAATATATGTGAAGCTTCAGAAGTTGCTCAGAGGAGGGAACGTCTTCATTCTAGTCATTCTAGTTCTAGCCCTAATGACCATAATCACATCTTTATAACCCTCTTTATGCTCCAGTGTTCCTTTTTGCAAAATCAGTGGCTTAGGTCAGAAGAACTTGGAGACCTCCCTCACCTTTCTAAAGGTTTAACCTACCTTTATTCTACTTGTTCAGAAAAACTAGGCAGGAAAGGGGGCCAATCAGGTAAGAGACAGTGACCCACAACACTGCCACCAAGACAGCTGGACCTCATGGATTCAGTCTAAGAAGTAGCCAGTCTACGTTAAAGTAGCAAGATTACCTTGGAATTACGAGAAAATTCTCAAATACAATAGGTCAATTTGATGTACATATTCAATTCCACAACAGGATGCAATTATAATTCCTCTGGGTCCACTTTGCCTCATTAAGAATCTACCTTGATAGATTTCAGTGGAAAGAAACAAAGATCTTTGTATAAAGTCTGCAATGCTGTATTTCACATCTTTTTGTGCAGTCCCGAAAACATTAAGATAAATGACATTGAGTGCTAATATCTCCCTGTTTCTGCCAGGAGTCTAGAGAAAGATGGCAAGAGAGAGAGCACATACATTGAGAATGATTAGATAAAAGGCATCTTCTTCTACTTTAAAATTCTCTGTTGGAAGAGAATCAATCAAAGCACCTCTTAGTAGTTTAGAAGGCATTGCCCTACTTTTCTCCCACTAAGGCATATGTACACACAGAAACACTATTCGTGACCTTTTCTGGTCAAAATATTTCTAGATTACTTTGTTGACATAAGAGGAAAAAAAAATGGGGATCCTAAGGCAATATTTTAAATTATTTTTTTAAATTCAGTGTAAACACATTTAGGTTACAATTGTTTCCCTAAAGTCTAACATTAAATTTAGCGGGAAAAAAATTAGTTAGAGCCTCAGTTGGAAGTGTGCTTATTCATTGTTAGAAAAAAACAATACAGATGAATCCAGACAGCTTTCAAATCCAATATAATTCTTTAATATTCATTCATTTTTCTACTTCCTCCTTCAATCATTTGTTCACTTACTATGTCTGCCATTGTGATTGGGTCTGGAGTAAAGAGATGAAAGGCACACTGTGTGCTCAAAAAGATCTTGGTTGAGGGTGGTTCAAAGGAGTAGGGCACTGGCCCCATATACTGGAGGTGGTGAGTTCAAAGCCGGCCCTGGCCAAAACTGCAAAAAAAAAAAAAAAAAAAAAAGATCTTGGTTGAGTGAGATAAAAGTAGCTGTCATTTTTAGCACTATTCTAATCTTCCCATCTAGCTCTCAAAAATATCCTAAGATATAGGTATTATTATTATCCTCATTTTACAGATGGGGTATTACTTGGGGCTCATAACTGGGAAGCAGCATGCCTGGGATTTGAACCTGGGTAGTCTAGCTTCAGACTATATGCTGTCAACTACATGGCACATGAGTAACTGCAATGGAAATGTGAGATGGGGAAGCAAGGTCATGAAGAGTGCAGACTCTACAAGGTTGTCATTGCTAGTTTTACCACTTATTCACTGTCCACCTCTTGGAAAGTCTTTCAATTTATCTGTCAATCTTTTCTCATGTATCTACTTCATGAGTTACTATGATAGGTGAAAGAGAAAAAGTGTGTAAATTTCTTAGACAAGTATCTAGTATGTAAAAACCATGTGATAAACATCATATGTCACTTTAATAATGATGATGGAGCTGGTACAAGAGAGCTACATGATAGCATGAAGGAGGAAGGAGTCATTTCTGCTTTTAGTGTCAGGAAAGACAGTTTGAAATTATTTCTGGACATAATCCCCTGCCTCTTTCCAACACACTAAGAGCTTCCTAAGCAATTGTTTTTAAAAGATCCCTTGCAAAAATCCCAAAAAGTGATTTAAAGGCATGAAATATAACTTATAAGAAAAAATAATTAAATTAGTTCTTAGGTATAAGAATAATACCAGTGTCCAGAAAACAATAAGAATATAATAACTTAGAGTGTTTTAAAAACATACAATGATGACTGCAAATTCTCCATATTTACCTAAGTAAATCTGATCCCAGGATATTTAGGTTACTTTGGTGAATATGAGTGTTTCTTCTGGATAACTATTGTTAATCCTTAAAACAGGTGACTAAGGAACATTGTGAGTTCATCTTTCCTGGACACAGAGTCTTTTCTGGATAGTTTGATTTAGTGATGACCCTGAAGGGTCAACAAAATGAGAAAAGCAACTACTTCCTTTGACTATCTGGTGAAAGTGGTGAACAACATTCATCAAAAGATACTTCATAAAACCTATTACATTGTCTCCAGAGAAATATTAATAATTATAACCATACAATATGAGATGTGGATAAAAAAAGACTTCTGTAGTCTCTGGTCAACCCATTTGGATTACAAATGAGGAAACAGATCCAGGGAGGCTAAATGACCCAGAACTATCATAATTGTTCTCTTATTCTTATGCAAGTGTCTTTGAAGCAGTTAAAAAAATATATAACCACCATTTTTTCAATAAACATTTTTAACACATAGTATCTCTTACATTTTGTAAGGGCGGCATCTATGGAAAACACCTAATTTAGACTTGGATAGAAACTGACAGTTTCACATGGAGTCAATCAACATTCAGTCTGACTGTTGAATGACTGAATGGTTGATTTCCTGAGCTGAAGAGGGAAAGAATCCACTTCTATCTCTTCTACCTTTACATTGTAAATCATACGACTCTGATTTTTTAAGATATTCTCACTTCTATAATTTAATTTTATCCCCACAGCATCCCAGGAAAATAGTTAAGTTGGATACCATTATATTAGCTGCACAAATCAGTAAAGTCAAGTCAACTGGCCTTAACGCAAGGTATTTGCCTTAAAGTAACTAACATTTG